GACCAAGCTATACAAGTCTAGATCAGGCGGGATGGGATCGAATTTGGCCTGCGGGTGTAGCGAAGTCGGCATCTTGTCGAGCTTCAAGAATACGCGCGAAGCTGTAGTGGGGTTCGCTCGAGATAGGGAGATTGTTGGTCGCAAAGAACGGGAAGTCTCGAAAAGTCGTCGGTGCGAAATCAGGCCCAAAAGCCGTTCGTTTCGCAAATTGCCCCCATTCAGTGCGAAAATAGCGACAAAGACACCGTAAACGAGGATAGGTTTTTGGGGGAGGATACAAATCCTAGGTGAATGGATGTAGGCGCGTCGGAAGCTTAGGCGTTGGATTGTACAATGCGCAACCAATCAAAGGTGCCTAGGTAGGTAGGTACGTAGAGACAGAGAGCGAGCGGGTCGATATGCACGTGACGCACCAATTGTCGATCTTGCGCTAACAAGCTCGGCCAATTCACTCCACTGCTACGTGAGCTTTGGTGACAAGGATTCTAAAGTTTATCAGATTCATATTTTTGGACCGAGAGTTTTCGATTTGAACTCTGGTGAGCTGCCATTGAGGTCTGACGTGACCAAACCTCTTTTACAGCGCTTCGTAGTAAGTTGAATATGAAATCTTTATAAAATCATAGTTCAAATTCTCATGATCCTAGTAGGACTGTAGACTGTATATCTCATGAGATTAAGTGCGCTCACCCGGGCTTCGGCCTGGGCTCAATGCCGAGGAATCTCAGATCGGGCTCTGAAAGTACCAAGACAACTACAGACAAGACCTTCCCCCATTCGTGCTTGCAAAGGCTTGAGACAACCATGGCATAATAATCAACGAGCAGTTGGGTTTCACGAGGCCAAACCTCGATCTTTCCCCCTGGCCACCCAGGATTTGGACTCAGCATCAGCTTCGACGGCACCGTCACCTTATAAACCACCTGAGACGGGACTGTTGTCGAAACTTCCAGCCTCATGGGTTCCTTATGCTGAGCTGATTCGACTTGACAAGCCTGCTGGAACCTATTATTTGTTCTTCCCGTGTCTCTTTTCTACTCTTATGGCTGCCCCAATAGCTATGCCAATGGCGACTCCAGGCTCTGTCGTTGGAACATCACTCCTTTTCTTCTCTGGAGCTCTCATCATGAGAGGTGCTGGATGTACTATCAATGATCTTTGGGACCGCAACCTCGATCCCCATGTCTCAAGAACTCGACTCAGGCCGATTGCTCGTGGTGCGATCACACCGTTCAAGGGACTTGTCTACACTGGGATTCAACTGTTTGCCGGCCTTGGGATATTACTCCAATTTCCCCTCCCTTGCCTCTTTTACGGCGTCCCTAGCTTGCTCCTGGTAGCCAGCTATCCTTTGGCCAAGAGAGTTACTTATTACCCCCAAGCAGTTCTCGGCCTCACCTTCTCGTGGGGCGCTATTATGGGTTTCCCGGCTCTTGGAATCGACTTGCTGTCACATACTCCAGCCTTGACAGCTGCGGCCTGTCTATATGCTTCAAATATCGCATGGACAATATTATATGACATGATCTATGCTCATATGGACATCAAGGACGACGTCAAGGCGGGAATCAAGAGCATTGCACTGAAGCATGATGCTGAGACTAAGCAAGTGCTGACTGGCTTGGCCGCTGTACAGATCTCTCTTTTGGCTGCTGCCGGATTTGCAGCTGGTGCTGGCCCGGCGTTCTTTGTTGGGAGCTGTGGAGGAGCTATGGTCACGATTGGTATCATGATTAAGCGAGTCAATCTGAAGGATGTCAAGGATTGTTGGTGGTGGTTCATCAACGGGTGTTGGATCACTGGTGGCGTGATCAGCCTCGGCATGGCTGCGGACTACACTATCAGATATGTCCAGGGACCTGAGGACGAGGCCAAGTCGGAGAGTTGAAGGCCAAACAGTATTGAAGCATGTAAAGCAATTGTACAATAATGTCATCATATACGGAGATATAGGTTCAGACCCTCAAGATTCCACCTCACGCGGCGTGCACATCGTTGTTTTGTTCGTCGAAGACTTTGTGATCTATTTTCCCATTTTCAGACCTCGTCTCCCATGATCAGATCCCTAACCAGTAATGCCGATGCAAGCAATCCGAATAGACTCCACGTGTCGAAATATGACTTTGTTTCCATCTGCGAGCCCTTCGCTTAAGAACGGGGCTTCTCCTTCTTCTCCTTCCACAAAGCGAGCAGACCGACACCAGAGACCTTGACGACCTTGAATCGAACACCGGGAATATCACCCTTGGCCTTGCCCTTGCGACCGAAACCAGCCAGGAGGACCTCGTCGTTCTCGTCCACGAAGTTCAAGCAACCGTCATTGGGGACTAGAAATCGATGTTAGTTTGACCGGTCCTTCATGTCTCGTAGTGTCTGGGGTTCGCCGTACCGAAGGCAGTGACCTTCTTTCCGTTCTTGATGAGCTGAACACGGACACACTTTCGGATAGCGGAGTTGGGCTGCTTGGCCTCGACACCGACCTTCTCGAGGACGATGCCCTTGGCGTGTGAGGAACCACCGAAGGGAGAGGACTTATAGGCGGTACCGAGGGCACGCTTCTTGTAGGCGAGATCGGCCCATTTCTGGTCCTTTCGGTTCGTTCGCAGCTTGCGGGCGGCGTTAAGACCACGGGGTTTGCCTCCAGCCATTTTTGCTTCAGAGAAAGTCGTTAGTCGATTATCGATTCGAAAAACTCGAGCGCGAGCGTGCAGAGCTGAGGGGATGTTTTTGTGTTGGGTTGAATGGCTAGTACCTACCGGATCTGTCTGTGTATCGACGACGGGATGGTGATGGTAATTTGCGGAGGCGACGAAAACTTGGGAAGGAACGACCAACGAAAATTCCAGGTAGGGTTTGGTGGCCCTAGGAAGAAGGTGCGACCTGTGTGAACCTAGAGGCAGGCGAGAGATCACGTGGTGCCAAGAGCAGCCCCACAGAAACCCTCCGATGAGTTGTGGACTGATCGTTCATCAGTGGAAGTTCGAGTTGCGGGTCGCACAGTGATAACCGACTCATCAACACTCTTTACACTGTCTTCTTCAACTCTCTCAGTATTAGCGTCAAGAGCGTCAAATGCTCAATTGATATCGGTCTGGAATGAAGCAAACTGTATTGTTCTTATTGTACATATTACTACCAGCCAGTCGAGAGGTTTCTTAGGTCATTATGTCTCATCTAACGCGACCGCTGAGCCGACAACGAGATCCTCCTCCCTCTTTATTCCTTCATCCATCTCCATCAGCATCAAATGTCTCCTTATCAAATGCACCACCGCCAACTGTCCCTTTCATAGGGCAGTCAAACTTACGGCCTAACGCCGAACGTGCTCCATCTGTTAGATCTGGACGATCCGGGGCTGTGGCCTCTCATCATCGAGCTGGACTATTTCCAGCAGAGAGCACACGCGCGACAGGTGACCGTACTGACCTCTTATGGTCCGAAATGCAAGCGACATTGGAAGAAGTCGAGCTCTCAGCTTCTGGTGGCACTCACGTGTTTGGCCCAGATCATGACCGCAAGCTGGCTGACTTGAGAGCCGCTCAAATTGCCCTTGCTCAAGCCTGGGCCAGAAGTGAAGCAGATGATGTTATAGACACAGCCCAGCTCGAAACTGTGGGGTCTGTAGCTGGATCTGAAGTTCGAAACATGAAGGGTGCGCTCGGCGATACCTCCAAGTCTGGTCCTGATGGCACAGAGAAGAGTGCCGTTGGAAGCAGCAGTATCTCACGACCCAACAGTAGCGGCACAGGAGTTGAGAGACTGGGCCACAAGCTCGAGGAAGAGACGGAAGTGGATATCCTCCTCGCAAGGAAACGACGAGAAGCCAATGATCGATATTTCCAGAGAGTCAATCAAGGAGTGATCGACGTGGTAACCCGGCTCGAAGATGTCGCAGTGGCTATGAGAGCTGTTGAACAGGAAAGCAAGGAAGTTTGGAGTGAGAACGACAGTGTTCCCGGCGCCTCGAGGACGTGATCGTGTCATACAGGTGATTTCGGCATTTCCAGCTCGGCGTTGCCAGGAGTTAGGCGATATTTACTCGGCATTTATGGCGTTTCACAATTTTGAAACAGACTCTTTGGATATTTTTCAAACATGTTTTTTCTAGAATATCGTCATATCAAGAATATTTTAACTATTTACGTCGTCGTTGGCATGTTCCTGAATCCTATTCGGCGAGAAGATCTTCGTGGCGTCGACTTACACCAAGATGGGTTGTGGAGACTGGGAGGGAAGACAAGCTACCAATCAATTCGATGACGACAAGAGAGCTATCCAGATACAAAATCCGTCATCGCTGCTTTCTTGATTTGATATCCGCAAAGACTATCTTACTTATTAGAGCGTGACTTGAACCGTATCACTGTATGTCTTGCATTGTGGTTGCAGGCTCACGACAGGCTGAGGAAACGTCATCGCTTGGCTGTCTCTCGACACATTTAGGACCGAAAGAGTTGAGATTCTCGGTATATGAAGAAGGAATAATGTTGAATCCCGAACTCATGATATCTTGTCCTGCCATTTACGTCGCTGTCCGTCTATCGGCCGTTTCTGTGGTTGAACAATTGTCTTGCCTACCTAGTAGGTAGTAGGTAGGTAGTTCAGGCACGTACCTCATTCTCGACAACGCGATTGGAAGAGTGGGGTGGACGACCTGCCTGATTGGGTTATTGGTCAGCCCGTCATGTGGCACACTGCTTTAAACTCGCTTCAGTGGAGTGATGCAAACCCCAGAGCATCCCTGGCGCATGGTCAGTGGGCGTCAGGTTCCTTCGGATCTTCCGCCCCCAAGAAGAGGCCTAGGCCTGCCCATTAGCTATCCCAATCGCCCAGGCCATATAAAGTCTCAGCCCATCCCCCATCACCCTCTGCATTGACGCCACGAACATTTGAGCATCATCCAACGCATTCAACATCGACTGAGCCTTTATCGCAGCAACCGCCGTATCCACCATCAACAAATTTTCATCATCAACTTGATCGTCGATACTACTATCAACATGAGATTTCTCCCCTTTGTCGCCGCCGCTCTCGCGGTTGTCCCAGGCGCCTTGGCTGTTGATCAAAAGAAGTCAGCTATTGTCTGGTTCGAGGACGAGTCTACCCCCGACAGCATCGTCGACGAGTGCAAAAACGCCCTCATTAAGGCCGGTGGAAAGATCACTCATGTTTACTCCATCATCAAGTGCGCATCCTCCGCCTTTTGGCACTATGGCAGCTCGATACTAACCAGTTGACTAGGGGCTTCTCCGTCATCGCACCCGAGAAGGCGCTCGAGATCGTTCAGGTCAACCACGAGAACCATCAGATTCGGGTTGAGAAGGACGAGGTTGTTACAACGGATTAAAGGTGCTAGAGGTAATACGAAAATGACGATACAAAGACGATGGGACAACAGCATGCCTTTGAAATGAACTGGCCGGGGTTTCACGGCAGTGTTAAGATAGTGGTATCCTTTGTTTGGGCGTTATAGGATAGGAGCCTCGATATTGCTTGGAAGACAACACTCGTTACGAGATTCAATGAGCTCATTATTGTTACAAAACCTCTCCCAGGTGGAACAGAACTTTTGTTATTGCGGATGCTTGTGATATTGGTCATATGATAGACATCAACTCAAACAGATGTTCATCAGCTATTAATGCGAACGAAGTACACCACTACAGCTCCACCAAAATTAATAATATGGGAGTGACAGAGCCGAGCCTTTTTGGCCTATGATTCTCCGGAGTCTGTATTTTGGCTATAGAATAGCGCCTTCATGTACCCTTGTTCTATTGGTCTGCTGCTGTGTTCATTCCATCATCCTTTTTAAGTTCGGGGGTCCAGATGGGCAGAAGCATAGGTTAGTAATGTATCTACTAACTAAGGCTAATAAACCATGTGTCTCGCCGCCATGAACAACCCGCACCTACGGAGTACACACCAGGCACCCCCACTAACTAACGAGTATGGAGTTGCGTCATTGTAGATTTTCTCTATATGTTTAGATCTTCTTCTTCTTCTTCTTGTTGTGTATGTCCACTAATGTTCATTCTTCGTCTCCGGCCGCACAGCCACGCTTTCTGTATATTTTGACGTATCCGTACACCTCCTGCATCAATGAATGCCTCAGAGGCTGTCATTAGGCATGCCACTACGCCACAATTGGCATCCAGCAACATTGAATTCGATAATATCCATTACCAATATTCGATCACCGTAACTTTACATCCGTACTTCGTAGAGGTCTGAGATACTACGGACACTATACGCGACTCACGGCCATTACACCCCAACACTAGACAAATTAAGGTGCCTACAGTACTTTCGTTAGTTGCTGAGCCATGAAATTGCTTCTATAATCCTCGAGTTTTGGCTGGCCCATTTGACAGCCTAAAAGTCCGCTATTCGAACTTCCCGTGGGCCCCTACGCTGTTACCCCTGTCAAATCGATAAGCCCACCCGACCGCATAGCTCAAGCCAACAAGGGCCCAACGTCGCCGAAACGTTGAAGAACAATGCTCCCTCTAACCTTGAGTCCGCACTGAACACTCACTCCACAATCACTGAACAATGGAACAACCGATTTTGTTCTTTTAATAACAGCTCCTTTTAAAACCCTCGAATCCCATTTCGACATGCCGTCGAATGCCTCGAAAACCATTACCCCTGCTACCAGACACGCGACGCAACTCCCTATAATTCCACCATCATTATCATTCCCGACAGCGACGACCTGATCGAATACTTTCCTCGACCAATATTTGACTCCGACCGCACAATATTTAGCACAGGATGCCAGGCTATAGTGTCAACGCGCAGGCTGCGCTCATCAAGGCCGTAAGTGTCTTCGAGGAAGAGCCCTCACCGTCTTCTAGCTCCAGTCTGACCGAAGATGCCCCTCAGATCAAACGAGTCTTCGAGCCGAAACGCATGGTAGAATCAGTCGAGGACCTCATCGACGGTGTCACCCTTGGTCTAATTCTACATCAACTGGATCCTAGCTTTGACACGTCCGCCCTCGAGACAAATTCCAACACATCCCGCTATTTGACAAACAAGCGCAACATTCAGAGCATCTACAAGGGTCTCTTCCGCTACATTCGACGAGCAGTTCCCGAGCTTGCTTGTCAGGCAAAAAAGTTCGACTATCATGCAATCGCTGAGAATCCCGATGCTCAAGGCATCAGTCAGGTAAATCTCTCTTCTCTACACTCATTTTGCATACGGCTAACTTTCCAGCTCTTGGCTGTCATGTTGGGAGTGGCCGCACTAGGTCCCGAAGCCCAGCATTATATTCCTCGGATAACAGGTCTCGACAAACACACTCAGGCAGAGATTATGCAAATAATCCAGACAATACAGCAGGATATTAACAGCTCACAAGGCGACGATGATGTGGATGAAGCCATCGACGCTGTTATGGAGGCGCGAGACATTGATCTACTCGTTGAAGAGCAGAATGCAGCCTTGCGGTCGCAACTTGACTTAACAAAGAGACAACTGTCAGATTATATCACCAGGCTTGATCATTTACAAACAAGTCACGAAGAGCTCCGGTTTGATAAAGAGAAGAACGACCGAGAGCTGGAGGTCTTGCGGAAGGCCACTATAGATGGTGCTAACAATGCCGAGATGATCAAAAACCTAGAGATTCAGGTGCATGACCAGATGGAACTCATTGCTAGACATGAGGAAACAATACGAAGAGACGAGCGCATCAAGTCGCAACTCGAAGCTGAAGTCCTCAAATTGACAGAAAAATGCAAAGAGGCAGAAGAGCTTCGCGACCAAGCAACGGAATGGAAACACAAAGCTGAGGATCTCGAGAAGAAGGCCAATACTGCAGAGCGGTATAAGCAGAAACTCGAGTCCCAGCAACATCTCGTCAAGGAGGTGCAAAACCTACAATATGAGAAAACGGAGTTACAAGACCAAATTAAAATCCTGCTGGAAGATCAAGATAGGGGGAATCGGACGAGGAAAGCAGAGGATGAGTTGACCAAGATGATTACTCAATCCGAGCAACATCTTTGGGACGAACGCAGCCAAAAGAACCAGCTGATGAAGGACATCGCAGCACTGGAGGACGAGGTGATTCGCTTGAGGGCACGTCAAAGCCACGATGAGAACTTCATCAAGGATCTCCAGGAGCAACTAGAGAGTGGAGGAGCCGCACAAAGCGCAGAACCCGGCGCGTTAGGTCTGACAGGAAATCTCGAGGATGAACTTAACGATGCAGCTACCGAGGACGGCCAACCTAGCCAAGTTAACCTGCCCCTAGAACTATCTCGCCTAAAGGCCGAGAACGATTTGCTGCGTAGCACAGTCGGCTCTGGGGATACCGCGCCACTACGCCGAGAGCTGGACGAAGAGAAGCGACAACGTGCTCACCTTCAAAAGAACTATAACGACATTTTCGAAAAGCATGCTGTTTTGCATGATCAAATGGAGGCTCTGATCAACAACATGACCGGCGAAGGGTTAGTCAAAGCAATTGATGAAGCCGGTGCCCCTGATGGGAATCAGATACTTACTTCGGATTACTACAGGACCAAGGCCTTTCTCAACATTAAACAGTCATTATTGCAGTGCGAATTCGAACTCGAACAGTCGAAGAAGAGGGAGAAGGACCTCTCCGTTCAGGTGGCAGATCAAGGCCGCGAACTTCTTGCTGCTAAGGCTCAGCTCTCGGCTCTCGACAAAGAAGGGGCAGATGCTCTTAAGGAGCTCAAGGGCGCTGATGTTACCATCATCTCGTCCCTCAAGTCTGAGCTCGACTACACAAGAGAGCAGCTCAGCTACACTATCGCCGAGAGAGATGCGCAGCAAACCCAGCTCGTCGATGCTCTCCTTACCAAGGATAAGCTGCGTAAGGAGGTGGAAGAGGGCCGGGAGCTGCAAGACATCAATGGCACAGGCGATGCACCACCTGACCCCAGCAAGAAGGGTGAGCTGATTGAGAAGCTGCGTGCCCGCCTCAGAGAAATCCGCGAGGTGAGTCCATTTTTTGATGCAATTGTTAATGGTGATGGGGAAGACCTAGTGGTCTCAGACAAAGATAGCCAGATGTCGTTAGAAGACGATGCCGCTTGGCCTTTGAATCCCACATTTGCAGGTGGTCGACCGAGTTCATCGCTAGATCCCATTGGAACTGAGATCCCGAGGCCTGCTTCTGCACTACTACCCCCGCGTCCCCTCCAGCGAGGGCAAGTAGGGGAGCCAGAGGGACCTATTGATATGCATGTGACATCCGGTAGATTTAGTTGGCTGACAGATATGTTCTAGCAACTTGAACGATCGGAGACGGACAGGATCGACCTACAACGTAAACTCAAGGCTGCACACGATGGCGAGGCTGTGGCTGCACAAAAGGTATGTTTAATTTCTTCCTGTGTATATAGTAACATCATATATTTTTATCATGTTTTTTTCTTACTGCGACTGAAACCTGGTGCTAATTATCTGTGACTCAAGGCCGCGAGCGATCAAATTATCCGGAACCTTGAAAGAGAAAACGCTCTCATCTCATCAGCATGGTATGATCTTACGAGCCGGCTTCAGAGCAACCATGTCGTTTTGCAAAGGCGGCACGAAGCTCCGCGGAGCTGGCTTAACAAGCAGAGGCAGATGGTCAATGGTCAGTTGCGCTTCCGCGACTCGCTCTACCTCTACTGACCTTCCCCTGTCAGCGACCCCGAAGCGATAGGTACTCGCGGGGTGAGAAATCCCTCGCTATTTTATGATAAGACTCAACGAATTACGCTCTCAAGTTGTGTGACATAATTCCTACTACCTACCTTACCAACCGCCAGTCTCTCCCTCGACGTATTCACTCCCACCCATACTGGCTTACCTTACCTGGCTCTCAAGATTGTCCCTTATCCTCTCTTGATCCCGACATTCTCATAATTGCCGACACAGCCTTGGAAATTCAGGGCGTCGTATTTTCCTCTTCCTATTTTTGAAGCATTGCGAGGGAGCTTGGTGTGTTTCTTAAAAACGGGCGTACTTGCTTGGTAGACTGGTGGCTAGGAGAATTTCTGCATTCCAACAGAATGCATTCAATGATATCATTAGTATAGATGTTATGCCGAGGAGTCCTACAAAGGGCTCCAAATGCGTTTCAATAGAGACTCAGGCATAATATTGCAGAGTCATAGTTTGATCATTATTGAAACTGGGGTTGTGTAAGTCGATTCGAGGGCTATGATTTGGGTTGAGGGCTCTAGTCTATCTGAGACTAACCCCATAAAGTGAGCATTCCATCTTCACGAGAAACAGGTAGGCCAGATATATAACGCTTCGAAAGCCAACTTTCTGTTGGTTGGAAACTCTTGTAAAAAAGACATTTTGATACATGGCTAATCGTCGTCCAAAGTAGGTAGCTTTTTCCACACATGGCCACACAGGGCCGCACCGCAGACAAACACTCTACCTTATAACGCCTCTTTTGCCTGGAAGATTGGACTCTCCACTCTCTCTTTCGCCTCTTCCCAGTTTACAGTTCATACCGTTCATATATCCAAGACGAGCTGGCTTTTATTTTCACTCAGCATTCGTCTTGTTGCCTCAGTCGCACCAAGTGGCAGCTGGGGAAAGCCAACCGCTCTGGGCAGGGTTTAAGCTCGCTTCTCGTTGAGGACCTTAAGCATGTTCTTCCACACTTGCCCAGGTTCTTGGCTGGCGTCGAGTCCGCTCCAGATACCAGTCTTCTTGTAGTAACCCACAACAGGGGCGGTCTGCTTGTGGTAGGTAACAAGACGCTTCTTCAGAGCCTCGGCGTTGTCGTCACTTCGCTGGATAAGAGGCTCGCCAGTAATGTCGTCCTTCATGTACTCCTTGGGAGGGTTGAAGGTGGTGTGGTATGAGCGTCCGGAAGCGGGGTGGACTAATCGGCCAGTGATACGGGCAACGAGAAGAGAGTCGTCGATCTGGAGCTCGACGGCGTGCTGGAGCTTCTGGTTTCGCTCCGTGAGCATGGCATCGAGGCTCTCGGCCTGGGGGACAGTTCGAGGGAAGCCATCGAGGATGAAGCTGAGACGCGAATTATTAGTATCCTGGTTCGTTGATCACGTCGGTGTAGATCGAGATTTGCGGGCTCAAAACGTCTGGAACCCGAAAACCGTGAAATGATGCAACTCACCCGCCCTGGCACTCCTTGTTGCTGTTGAGCTCCTCCTTGATCATGCCAATCATGATATCGTCGCTGACCAGACCGCCCGCATCCATGATCTTCTTGGCCTCAACACCGAGAGGGGTCTTCTTAGCGACCTGGGATCGCAGCATGTCACCGGTAGCCTGCGCAACGAGAGAATACATGTTAGAGAGTCGAGACTTTGAAAGGCTGTGTTTTTGCGACGCGAATTAACGTACCAAGTGACAGCAAGAGAAGCGCTCCTTGATCTTGGGGGCCTGAGTTCCCTTTCCTGGGAAGCACAGTTAGTAAAAGACTAAGCGAGCATTTGCGGCGCAAAAACACTCACCAGCACCAGGAGGACCGATGAGGATCATTCGGATCTCTTCAGTGGAGACGGGACCGCCAGTGGCTCGCGCCTCGAGCTTCTTGATGCGAGTGTCAATGGTGCTAAGAACATCTTTGAGCTGCTTGAGCTCGTCCTCAATGAAACCCATCGCTGCGGTTGTGGAAGATGAAATTGGAACTGGAACTTGTTCTGGCGGGCAATTGAAAGAGATCTTGAAAGATCCAGAGAAGCAAAGATGGAATTGACGAGAGACTTTGTTCTTTGGTGCGAGGCTGAGGGGATCGAAGTGGAAGAAGAGAGAGAGAAAAGAGAGGAACAAAGTCAAGACAAGGAAATCTTGAGTGCGTAGCCGGAGGACGGGAGGTTTGGGGGAGAAGCTTTAGCGAGCTGTGATTGGTCAACTGGGGCCGTTTCTGCTGGACCGACTGATGATGGGGGTACACCCCTGTAATTAACCTGCTGGGGATGCGCCTTGGCCTTTGAGATGGAAGCAATCGTGGCTTTTGATATCTACGGATAGTTATATAATTTGATAGATAAAGGGAGGCAGTTTTGTGAATTCTGGATGATCAGTATCGCTTGCTTGTCTTTCTTTGGTGGACCGTTATTTTGTAGGTAACGTCGCCAGGGCTGAAAACGTGCATATAAACACACCAAAAGCAAGCTTTCAATCACAGGCTCAGGACAAGGTACTCGGTACAGCTACGGCGTTATAGAGACCACCACCTGTTCGTAACACGACAAGATCCAGCAATAACATTATCTGACATCCATGTATAAATTCAAATACAGCGAGAGCATGTGGCTTTCCAGCTCGAGCCACTGTAATTGCTATATCTGCCCAGCCATAAGCACTGCTGTCATCCATGATGCTCAGTCCATCATCTCTATACATCACCGATGTACAGATGCCTATAGGACCTTAGGGTAGTTCGCAACTTGCCTCAACAACAACCGTATCCGGAACATGCCCGTTTTTCCTCATCTCACTATACTCCGAGATGCTATAACCGTTCTTGGCCGAAGCCAATGGCGGAAGGTCAGCTTACAACTGCCATGATGCAACGGAGTTCGGTCGGTCGCCAGGACCGAGGTTCAGAGAGTTGGGATGCCACGGGCCCCTTTGATCCGGCATATCCCCGCCAGTTCAACAATCCAAGAATACTATGTAATTAACTCTCTTCATGTTTCATCTGTTGCAGAAAAACGGCCACACCTCGGTCTGCGTACAGCCGACCTCCTCGTCTGCCCTTTCACGGCTAGCCACACTCGTGCAAGGAACGACTAGGTATTGGTAGTTAGCATCGCTGCACGAGTGCCTTCGTTTTGTTATATCCTATTCGAGTAGTAATGGCACCCTCGTAAATCAACGCTTGCGCCCACGTGTAGGTGTGTTAATAGCCGGCATTAGCATGTTAGCCTCCATCTTTCCGCTCTCCTAGAGATGTCCCGAAGCCAAGTCTAGGGTTTATAGTGATGGCATCATCATATACCATTTCGTATTGGACCCTGCTTCTTCAATGATTTCTTCCCTCAATATGTACTTTCATCCTTAACTACCGTACTCCGGTTCGCACCGAGGCCCAAGTGGGCGGCAATCTCACCAGAATCGAGTCGCTTACCATAAGAGGAAGATCTGATCACGCTATGCCAGATCCAGCAAACAAGCGTTGACCTGCTACTTGAAATGACTCTCTAATAAAAGACTCTTGTTTGTGGTAAGTCTGCTTGTATATGTAATGCCCTAGGATGATGACCTACGTTAGGTAGGTCACTGCTAGTATCTAGGTATCTAATAAACTGGAGCTCTAGATTTGATAATGCAACATAGGCCGATTCAACCATTCATCTACCTATGAAGTCAATAGTACAATTAACGAAAATCAACGCTACTCTCTCTATTTATTCACTAGTCCAAAATTTAAAATCCTCGCTTTTCTTTGTTCAATGGCCTGTGCTTTCAATTCTCTTGGTTGCGATACCGCTTCGTTCATAGCATGTGGCTGAATATTCGGCTGTGGCTGCTTCCACGTGACGTGGCACTGCAAGGCTTGAGCTCGAAGGCTCAAGGTGCCTGGCCCAATTGGGAGCTACCTAAGCTCCCCCAAGAAGGCAGCCTCAAGACTACGTACGTGCGGCCACAATAATCACTGCATCCACATCACGACTCTACCTCCAACTTCGCCGCGCCTGCACGACTACGATCGCGCATTGAATTGAATCTCTACACAGTTCAGCATACGTCGTAATAGAGATACATTGACGAAGCAACGATGCCTACTACAACAGCAGAAACACTCTCCCTCGTTACTCGAAACGTCACCGTTGCGCCCCTCGTCCTTCTCTCAGCCGTCGACCACTACAACCGAACTGTTTCTACCAAGACAAAGCGACGAGTAGTTGGCGTTCTTCTGGGACAAAATGATGGAAATGATGTGAGAGTGTCGAACAGTTTCGCTGGTGTGTTACCCTAGTATCATGGGGCCGGAAGTTGGGCGGCGCTTACAATTGCTACACAGTTCCCTTCGAGGAAGATGAGAAGGACCCTTCAGTATGGTTCCTTGACCACAACTACGTCGAGTCAATGAACGACATGTTCAAGAAGGTCAACGCCCGAGAGAAGCTCATAGGATGGTATCACACTGGTCCCAAGCTACGTGCATCCGATTTGGAAATCAATGAACTCTTCAAGCGCTACACACCCAATCCTCTGCTCGTTATTGTCGATGTTCAGCCCAAGGAGTCGGGAGTTCCTACAGATGCTTACTTCGCCGTTGACGAGATCAAGGACGTATGTTGACGAACCTTCCGGATTTCAGGTCACCAACCAGCTACTGACACTCACCAGGACGGCACAACCACTGCCCGAACATTTGTTCACACCCCTTCCGTTATCGAGGCCGAGGAAGCAGAGGAGATCGGCGTTGAGCACCTGCTAAGAGATATCCGCGATGTGGCCGCCGGCACATTGTCCACACGAGTCACAAACCAGCTTCAATCACTCCAGGGCCTGCACCTGCGCCTTCGAGATATCGGCACATACCTCCAGAAGGTTCTCGACAAGCAACTACCAGTCAACCATGCAATCCTCGGAAACTTGCAGGATGTCTTCAACCTGCTGCCTAATCTCTCGACACCCGAAGGAGATGGCAAGTCTGGTGGTGGCGAGTTGGCATATGCGATGAGCGTCAAGACCAATGACCAGCTTATGGCTATTTACCTG